GTTTCCGGAAACTAGTACCTCCGAGGTACTAGTTTTTTGCTGCGCATTTTCGGCGGAAAGCCGCGGTTGTGCCACGGAAGCGTTACGCTTCCCAGATGTGCCGGTGAGATCGTGCCCGGAAAATCCGCCTGTCTTCGGTCTCTCATGCGTGGCTAATGTTCCGTGTGACTGCAGCCAGAGTCTACGAAGGTGTCTGGCAAAGGGACTTGGCTTGACAGCAGCACATGTGAAAGGGATCTGGGTGTTCTGGTTGGTCACAAGCTAAACATGAGCCTGCAGTGTGATGTGGCTGTGAAGAAAGTGAACGCAGTCTTAGGGTGCATATTCACAGAAGCGCTGTGTCCAGATCACGGGAGGTGGTAGTTCTGCTCTATTCTGCTATGGTCAGGCCTCCCCTGGAGTCCTGTGTCCAGTTTTGGGCACCACATTTTAGGAAGGATGTTGAGAAGCTTGAGCATATCCAGAAGAGGGCAACCAGGACGGTGAGAGGGTTGGAATCCAAGTCTTACAAGGAAAGGCTGAAAGGGTTGGGTCTGTTTAGCCTGGGAAAGAGAAGGCTTAGAGGGGACATGATTGCAGTCTTCAAGTATCTGAAGGGCTGTCATGTAGAAGATGGAGCAGATCTATTTTCTCTTGCTCTGGATTGCAAGGCTAGGTCTAATGGGTGGGAATTACAAGGGCGTCGTTACCGGCTAAATATCAGGAGAAACCTCCTAGCTGTAAGGGTGGTTGAGCAGTGGAACAGTCTGCCTCGGGATGATGGTGGATGCTCCTTCGCTGGACGTTTTCAAGCAGAGGCTGGACGACCATCTTTCAGGTATGTTGTAGGGCTCTCTTTCGGCTCTGCTCCTGCAGAGTGCAGAGGGCTGGACTAGATGACCTCCAAGGTCCCTTCCAACTTTGACATCCTATGATTCTATGAAAGAGAGCTCTGGCTCGCGAAAGTTCTTTTCCCCAAAATTTTGTTGCTCTGTAAGGTGCTGCCTGGACTCTAATCTGGCTCACAAGACAACAGGCTTAGTGGAGCCGTTCTGAAACGAAGAGTCGTGTTTGCCTTTGGCGGCTGAAGGGAGATCCCTCGTCATAAAGCCGTTCAGGGGCCTGGCGGATACAAAGTCTCCCACCGAGGAAAGAGAAGGACAAACAAAGAGGGGAGCAAACAGGCCAGGAGGAAGCCGTAAAGAACGTAAGTTGATCCTGTGGCCGGACGGTCCAAGGCTGCGCCTCAGTGGCAGGAATGAACAGCTCTGTGCTGCTCAGAACCGGAAAAAACAAGGCTGTGTTTCGTTCTGGGAAGAGCCAGCACTGGATTTTTGTGGGGCCGCTGGGACCTGCAGCTAAGGCACTGGGAACCAGAGGGTTGCTAGCTCCCCCCTGGCCGCCGGCGGGGGGAGGAGGGGTTGCCAGATCCAGGTTGGGAAACTCCTACAGATTTGGGGATGGAGCCTGGGGAGGACAGGGGGACCTCACTGGGGTACAGTGCCATGGAGCCCCCCCTCCCCCCTCCAAAGCCTCCATTTTCTCTAGGGGAACTGATCTCTGTGGTCTGGAGATGAGCTGTAATTCGGGGGGGGGGGATCCCCAGATCCCATTTGGAGGCTGGCATCCCTAGGGAACCCACGTTTGCCCTGTGACTGTGCAGAGTCCAGAGGCAGTGGTGGAGGAGGAGTCTCGAGGGTGGAGGAGTCCTGAAGCAGAGGGCAGAAGGGAAACTGGGGAGGGGCCGGTTGGAATGGGAGGCAGGGTCAAAGGGGGGGGGTGTCTGGGGAGTGAGAGGAACAGCGGCCCCCTTGCAGGCGGTAGGGAAGACGCTGGAGGGAAGGCCTGCTGGGGGAAGGGGAGAATGGTGAGGAGGGGCAGCCGTCGGACCCCCCCCCGTGGTTGTGTGTCGCCATCTCCGGCAGCAGGCTTGAGAGACGCATCCTATTTAGATGGCTTCAGAGGGTGGCCGAGTCAGTCTCCACAATAGAGGACAGGTGGGCTCACGTGCCGGCTGCGTCTGAAGAAGGGAGGGGCGGCTCCTGAAAGCTCACACCCTGTCACGAGTTTTATTCGTCCTTAAGGTGCTCCAGCACCCTGCCAACAAAAGTCCGTATGGTCAAAACAGTGGTATTCCCAGTAGGAACGTATGGCTGCGGGACTTGGATCATAAGGAAGGCCGAGCGCCGAAGAATAGATTTTTTTGAATTATAGAAGAAGAAGAAGAAGAGATTGGATTTATACCCCATGGCCCTTCACTACCCAAAGGTGTCTCAGAGCGGCTGACAAACTCCTTTCCCTTCCCCTCCCCACAACAGACACCCTGGGAGGCAGGTGGGGCTGAGAGAGCTCTTGACAGAAACTGCTCTTGAGAGAAGAGATTGGAGTTATACCCCCCGCCCTTCACTACCCAAAGGTGTCTCAGAGCGGCTTACAAACGCCTCTCCCTCCCCCTCCCCACAACAGACACCCTGGGAGGTCGGTGGGGCTGAGAGAGCTCTGACAGAAACTGCTCTTTTTCAAGGACAGCTGTTATCAGAACTACGGCTTGCTGAAGGCCATCCAGCCAGGTGCGAGTGGGGAACCAACTGGACTGCAAGGAGATCAAATCAGTGAATCCTAAAGGAAATCAACCCGGACTGTTCCCTGGAAGGCCAGATAGTGAAACTGAAGCTCAGATACTTTGGCCACCCAATGGGAAGGGAGCCCTCACTGGAGAAGACCCTGATGCTGGGAAAGACTGAAGGTCAAAGAAGACGGGGACGACAAAGGAGGAGATGGTTGGACAGTGTCATCGAGGCAACGGACATGAAGTTGAGCGGACTCCGGAGGACAGGAGGGGCCTGGCGTGATGTTGTCCACGGGGTCGCGAAGAGTCGGACTCGACTGTGAAACTGAACGACAACAAAAAGGACTCTGCCTCTTTTCTGCTGGGAAATACAATAGCGCTAGGAAGAGTGGAAGGCAGCAGGGAAAGGGAGACCCAACCTGAGATGGAGAAAAGGGCAAGA